AATATTATGTATTTTCACTTATTTAATAACATATAAAAATTATAAATAAATATTATATAAATAAATAAATTATTCGTATATGATTACATTTTCCAAGCAATGCCAGCTGCTACTAATTCTCTCAACTTTATACATTTCCACCTTTCATATTAATTTCCAAAAGTGAAAGGATTAAATCAAAAAAATCTATTATATATATTAGTCATATCATATCTTAGGGTGGGTTTATATTCTCGGCAACTTCTGAGGATTTTAGTCTTGTAAAGTATTTTTTATTGAAAATAACCCCAACCTTATTTAAAGAAAAATGATTTTGAGATAATTTTTTTGTATCATTTTTTTATATAACTTGACGTATCATTTAAATGATTAATTCCTTTTATTCATATAGGACATGTGATATTAAATGTATGCACTTTTTTAATAACATATTAAAAATTATATTAAAAAATAATATAAAAAAATTATCTCTATAACATCGTCTTTATCTAAATGTTTTTACTACTTGTTCATTGTACGCAAGGAAATTAGCTGGACAGAGGTTTGTTGACTAAGAAGTCAATTCAAAAACAAATGTGTGGTCAACAAGGTAAGTCATTTTGCCTAAATGAAATTTGGCTAAGATTTACTAATGTTAGGATTGATAGGATTATTAGAGGTAGATAATTGGTAGTGGCAATGTGGCATTCTTTTTAGCCATTATCTTAAAAGGAAATTGATCAAAATGAAATCTGATGTACACTAAAAAAACCAATTGCACACCCACCCATTTTACCAAACAAAGCAAGTGGGACATTCCTCTGTTATGTGGGACATTCCTCTATTATGGCCCATAGGTGGCCATTGCAGCCCAATAGGGCTGCCGATGAATTGCACTCTTGATCAGTGGTCGAATTTTATCAAGAGCAAATACTAACTTAACTTCTAACCATTTTCTCTGTAAAAAAAAAAAACAAAGCAAGTGGGGAGGTAACTTTCATAAAAATTTTCCCATTTGGTTTATAAAATTACCTACTTACTTGATAAGACAGAATATTCATTAATTCCAAATTTCCAACTTGACAAACTCTAGTTACAAAAAATGTGTAAATAAATATGGACCTTTCTTGGGCTTCAAAGGTTGCTTCTGCATGCATAATGAGAATGCACGTTTCAGACTGTTTTTGCCCCGAGCTGTATGTCATGCACAAGGGCTCTAGTCTGAATCTCTGGCCATCAATTGAAGGATTGGTTCTTTCAATTTGTGAAACAAGTGGGTTATGGACCACCCTACAATGTAGTAGCATAACACATTATACTGTAATTAAATTTGACACACTCAATGGAAGTTACCCTCTTAACGAAATAGAAATGGTGACTTCATTTTCATCACAAACCAAAAAAACACAAGAGGTAGAGAGAAAACACGTATGAGTTACAACTAAAATGCAGTAACGTTGGTACTCACTAACTTCAAAACATGTAACTACAAGGCAATAAATTTGGTACTCATTAACTTCAAAATATGAAAACATATTTTTGGCCAATTAAAAAAAAGGGGGGGTGAACCAAAAAGAAAGTTACAAATACAATGTAGGTCTGCTTAGGCCCATTCAATTTGCATCGAAGCCTGGCCTAAGAAACCTAACCTTTAGCCCACTGGGTTCATTCATGGACCGAGTTTTAATCCTAATGCCCAAAACTGAAGGAACCCAGTCCAGTGCAATCATTCCCCCAGATATTTGGGCCGGAATCAGACTTTTCAAGCCCAGACTATAAATCAATGAGGTTTCATGGGCTCATCAAACTTTAGGCTCAGAAAAAAAAAAGGATGCCCGGCAGCCCCTCTACCTCGGGCCTTGGGTTGCGGAGTCAGAATGTGGGCCTCCACCAGGCGTACGGTACTAAAGGGCGAAAGCCAGTCGTTTGATATCTCCTCGCACCATTCTTCCCCTTTCCCTCCACACAGCACAACTGGAGAAAGATTTAAAATGGAAAATCAGGAATTCCGTTTTCCCTCAAGTTTTCTCAGCAACCAAACAGAAATTTATGATCGATTTGTTGCAAGTTTCTGTGAATCTTTGCATTCAGAAGCAAAAATCTAGAATACTCCAAGGTAGTGTTCCCGATTCTTTACTTTCCGTTTGGTTACCGAGAAAAAGAAAAGAAAGAATTTGAAACTCGACTCATGCTTACATTTTTCTATTCTTGCAATGCCGCTTCCACGCTACATTTTTTCGCCGATTTTTATACTGTAACCGCGAGATTTTCTGTTGTAAATGCTTCATTGTGCCGAGATTTGCTATTGTAAATGCTTCATTGTGCCCTTAGCTGTTAGATTTAGAAGATTTGATGCATCATATTGTACATTCAAGTGGTTATTATGCTAAACAAAGAGATTTTTGTGCAGTTTTGTTTCTAACTTTCTCTAGATCTCTATACAATTACGGTTTAGAAGCTCGTGGCAGTAGGTATTGGATTGAAATCTAATACGAGGAGATCTTTTTATGATGCAGGCAAAAGGCATATGGAAGCGTATCGTTCCTAGACAAGTCAGATTGTCTCTCTTACAGATCTGTGACTTGTGCTGCAGCAAATCCAAGTATGAATATCCTTGCTTGATTTTTGATTAACAATATTGATTTTCTTGATTATAATGCTCATCATTTTATTTAATAGCATCATGTTCCTTTCTTCTGTATTATTGAAATGACTCCATAACCATAAGAAAGTTGCTACCTACTACAGATTGTGGTTCAGCCTATGTTTTTGAGTTATGTTTAAATTTGTGGAATAATTTTCATGCCGTGGCTGGATTGATAAGACCAAAATTCAGGAAGCATTTAAACATATATCATTTATATTGTAAGTGGTAAATTACAGATATTGTTGCTTTGCTTCTACATGAACTTTTGTAGTAGTTGAGAATAGGAATGCTGTCTTTGCTTCTCCTGGCAGTTGACAGTTGATGCTAATTTCAAGTGTCTTGTTAAACATACTTTTATATGCATTGCTTACTTTCACATTCTGTTTCTTTATTAACATTCTTTGAGTGATTTGAATTTATTCTAGTGAAATAGAGTATTATACTATTATCGACAGATAAGTAGGGAGACACTGCCTGTTTTCGAATGTTCTTGTTGTTTGATATCTTTGAGGTGCTTTAAGATCTTTACTAGTTTATTTGATGGAGAATATCTAATGAGCAAAATGAAAATCTAGAATCAACAAAGATGTTATTCACATGAGGACTAGGACAAATCTGGACTTTCTGATTTTTAGGAGTGTCTAGTAGATTCATTCAACTTGGTGCAATTATGGTTACTTTCACATCATTTTGGATCTATTTGCTTCTACATTAAAGATGAGTCAGATGTTTAGAGAAATTTGTGGTTTCAAGGAGTCATATCGCTAGTTTTAATGATTCATGATGTATGAATAGTATGTAGGAACTTTTTGCTTTTCTTTTGATCTTGGGGGTATTTGGGAGTAGGGGGTACAATTTACAATGTCAATGCCTAAGCTTGAACTGCTGATAAAAAAAAAAAAAAAAAAAAAAA